TAGCCTTATCTAAATATTGTTCACTTATTTGTTTCACTGTAAACACCTGGTCCACACACCCCCTACCTTTCCTAAACCCTCCTTGTTCATCTGCTATCCTATTCTCCGTCTTACTCTTAAGTCTTTCAATAATAACTCTACCATACGTTTTACCAGGTACACTCAACAGACTTACCCTCTATAATTTTTGCACCCTCCTTTGTCCCCTTTGCCTTTATACAAAGGAACTATGCATTCTCTCTGCCAATCCCTTGGTACCTTACCCTCTTCCATACATTTATTAAATAATTGCACCAACCACTCCAAAACTATATCCCCACTTGCGTTTAACATTTCTATCTTTATCCCATCAATCCCGGCTGCCTTACCTCCTTGACCTATACACGAAATCACAGCTTCCCTATCTTCATCAACATTTAACAATTCCTCAAAATATTCCTTCCATCTTCCCAATACCTCTAACTCTCCATTTAATAACTCTCCTCTCCTATTTTTAACTGACAAATCCGTTTGTTCTCTAGGCTTTCTTAACTTGTTAATCTCACTCCAAAACTTTTTCTGATTTTCAACAAAATTTGCTGATGACATCTCACCCACTCCTCATTTGCTCTCTTTTTACATTGCTTCACCACTCTCTTATCCTCTCTCTTTTTCTTCATATACTCTTCCCTCCTTGCATCACCTCTGCTTTGTAAAAACTTCTCATATGCTAACTTTTTCTCCCTTACTACTCTCTTTACATCATTATTCCTCTTCCCTCCCGCACCCACTTTCCTGTACCCACAAACTTCTGCTGAACACTCTAACACACAATACCTCTTCGACCTCATTGCCTATGCTCTCATTAGCTCATTGTGAGGAAAAAGTTCAACAGATAGTAGCGAGCGAGTATATAGTAACAATAGTTTCATTGCCGGCTGCTTGTTAAGGTAGGGTCAGTCTAGCTCCCACTATCCCTCCCCCCCGAAAGGTGACGTGTGTGGGGCTCTGGCCAAACAGTAATCACTAGACTCACAGCTCCCAGCACAACTCTTGGAATGACAGATTGGGTCACCTGCCAACCAACGCGAAGCATTGAAGGAGATGGACTAACGTCCCGAGACGTCCCATGTTGGATCTACTTACCTGTTTATGCAGTCTCAGGACATAACCCCTCATCATTTTAGTGGTAAAGAACCTGCTTTCCTGTCATCTGGACTGATTATTCACGGCTATAGACTCTGTGAAGAACGAGCCGTTGGGTTGTCACCAACACCTGTGACCCCTCCCCTCACATCAGCAACGGCTACGATTTCAACAACACGCAGTGTCACCAACATCAGACACCCTTTTTATATATTAGCATTGAAGTTAAATATCATTTACATTTTTTATTTTTCATTTTTCTTTAAAGTAGGTTAAATATTTCATATTTGAGTATTTTATATTTTATATTTTTTTAATAATAAAGTGTTTATGTTTGTCAGTTTTTATTCTTTTTCTATTCATTAGTTTTCATGAGGAGGAGCCAGCCTTGGTAATACTGACTGAAGTTGTTACAGGGCTGAGTAAGTCTTCACACTCAACTATTCTCCAATAGCTGTTTATATCTTACCCTAACTGCCTCTTCTTTGCATCTATGTTAACTGTAATTGATTTTCAGAGTTGAATTATTTTGCTGTTGTAATTGTTAAAGTTATAATCATTAACAATTTCTATTGTATCTTACTTCCAAACTTTAAATAACAAAATATTACAAGGATCTCAATGGAAACAAGTCACTTTGACATTTTGGGCAGTCCCAGGTAACTGACATATAGTAATAGTAATAGTAATAGTACTACTACTATGCTACTATTACTACTACTACTACTACTAATAATAATAATAATAATATTAAATCTTTATTTCTACATTTACAAGGTATATAGGCCTACCTGACATCAATGACATATTACTACATGGAAAGCCCCTTTTTATTCAGAGATTTTCCAGTAAATTAGGTCAGTTGGTGCTTATGTGTAGCTGTGCCTTAACAAACATATTTACTGATGTGATAAGAATAAGTTATTGTTGGGTGTCGCAGGAACTTTAACAATAACGGTATTAAAGTTCACGAGGTAACACACTTTACTATTATTCAGCTGAATATCTATTACAAATAAATATCGTTATTTCTACAAGTACATGTACAAGGTATACATACCATAGCTGACATCAATGATATATGTACCATTACTATATAGAAAGCCCCTTGTTATGCTGAGCATTTCAGGCAAATTAGGTCAGTCTTGTCCCAGGATGCGATCCACACCAGTCCACTGACACCCAGGTAACCATTACACTGATGGGTGAACATAGACAAGAAGTGTAAGGAAACACGTCCAATGTTTCAAACCGCCCAAGAATCGAACCCGGACCCTCACCGTGAGAAGCGAGAGTTTTTGCCACCAGGGCACGGGTCAACTTAAATATCCAATTCGTTCTGTAATAATTTTAGATGCCCTCATCGATTATTCATTTTTCACTAGCAAGTTGGAACACCACACGCCAGGGGCCAGGAGCTGTGACTCGACCCTCCCAACCACAACTAGGTAAGTATAAGACAAACATTGAAGAATTGAGACACTTATGCAACACATGGGAATCTTTATTGAAGAAACGTTTCGCCACACAGTGGCTTCATCAGTCCAATACAAAGTAGAAGTGGGTAAGGAGAGGAGAAGTTTGAGGTAATCAGTCCCTCAACCTGGAATCGATGTGTTCAGTCCATCTACAAGAGTGATGAACTGAACACATCGCTGTTTTATTTTTAAGGTTTTTCTATTCAGGTTAACCCCTAATTACATTTTTTTTAGATAGATAAGATACACAAATAACCCGCACATAGAAAAGAGGAGCTTACGACGACGTTTCGGTCCGACTTGGACCATTTTCAAAGTCACACTAATCAGAGGTGGAGCAGGACGGCTATATATAGGCAGTAAGAGGTAGTAGTGGTGGTAGTAGTAGTATTAGTAGTGGTGGTAGTAGTAATAGTAGTAGTGGTGGTAGTAGAAATAGTAGTAGTAGTAATAGTAGTGGTATTAGTGGGGAACTAAGGAGGAGGAGCCAGTCAAATATAAAGAAAGGGGAGCACTGCAAGGGAGCTAGGTGCCCACAGAGGGAGAGCAAGTGCACAGAGGTGAGAGGAAGGGGAAGTGATGAGATAAATAATGAAGGAACAGAAACACGCGACAGAAGAAAGACAAAAAAAAAGGAAAGAGGAAAGGGGAAGAGGGAGAAGAAGAAAAAATGAGGAATCAGGTTAAGTCACGGGTGTTCTGAAGTTTGGAGCATTTTACAATGTAGTGGGAGAGGAAGGCATCTTCAGAAACGAAGCCAGGACTAAGATTTATACAAGGAAAGTTGTGTACTATTAGAGAGGATTCAACTAGACGGCGACTGTTGAAGCTGGAAGTAGGGAAGACAGTTTTAGCAGAAGACCAGTCTATAGGATGGCTGTGATCTCTGACGTGACAGTAAAGAGCATTGTTAGTGACGGCAAGCCTAACACTATTTTTGTGCTCCCTAAGTCTGTCAGAAAGAGATCGGCCAGTTTCTCCAAATTATTGAAGAGGACAGGAGAGCAAGAAATAGAGTAAACACCAGGAACATCTGTAGAGGGAGGAGAGGTATGAACGAGATTAGTGCGAAGAGTGCTAGTCTGGCGGAAAGTAAGATTGTTTCCCCAAAGGGGACGGAGAGAATTGTTGAGATTAGAAAGACCGGAAATGTAAGGGAAGGCAGAGGACAAAGAGTTCCCAGGAGTAGAGAGTTTGGGAGAGAAGAAATTCCCGTTTAGCACGTGGGGGGGGCCCGAGTCTATGAAATGGGAAGGTAGCCAAGAGGGGAAAACGAATTATGAAGAGTGAAATTTCTGCTGGAAGGAACTGAGGATCACAGATGCGGAGGGCACGGAGAAAGAGGGAGATAAGAAACACTTTTTGACAGGGGAAGCATGATAGGAAAAGTAGTGAATGTACATGACACTGTGCATAGGTTTGGGTAAACGGAAAAGGAAAAACCTGTATCGAGGCGGTGGCCCATGGACATCAAGGAAAGGAAGCAAGGAATTGATTCCCATTCAGCTTTAAACTTAACGGAAGGGGCAAGATTTTTAAAGAGCTTCAAAAAAAGGGTTTTGGAAGAGATTGGCGTCATGAGGCCACAAAGCAAAGATGTCATCCACATAGCGGAGCCAGAGTGAAGGTTGCACATCGAGGGTAGGAAGAAGAACAGTCTCGAAGTATTCCATGTAAAGATTAGCAAGGACAGGAGAGAGAGGAGAGCCCATAGCGACACCGAAGGTTTGAGAATAATATTTCCCTTGGAAGGAAAAGGAGTTAGAGTCCACACAGAGGCGGATCAGATCAAGAAAGACTTCAATAGGTATTGGGAGATGTAGAAACCCTTCAAGGACCTTCACTCTAAGGAAATCAATGACATCATCAAGAGGGACATTGGTGAAGAGGGACTCAACGTCAAGACTAAGCATCTTACAGATTGGGAGAGAGCGAACCCGTTCAATGAAGTCTTGAGAGTAAGATGCTTAGTCTTGACTTTTTTTTTTTTTTCTTCTGTCGCATGTTTCTGTTCCTTATTATTTATTTCATCACTTCCCATTCCCCCCACCTCTATGCACTTGCTCTCCCTCTGTGGGCACCTAGCTCCCTTGCAGTGCTCCCCTTTCCTTATATTTGACTGGCTCCTCCTCCTTAGTTCCCCACTACAACTACCACCACTACTACTACTGCCACCACCACCACCACTACCTCTTCCTGCCTATATATAGCCGTCCTTCTCCACTTCTGATTAGTGTGACTTTGTAAATGGTGCAAGTCGGACCGAAACGTCGTCGTAAGCTCCTCTCTTCTATGTGCGGGTTATTTGTGTATCGTTCCAGTCACGGTATTGTGTTATTTTTTGTTATAAACGATAAGATTATTGTTTTAACCCAACATATAATTAATGCCTATTCACAGCCCCACCCCAAGCTTGACCTACACCTGTGTACGACGCTCACAAGAATTGCCCAAGCAATCTCACTTTCAGTCACTCTCATCTTATCGTCGACTGAACACTTTCTCCAGCCTCTCTCGTTACTTTAACTGACCTGGTACTTTTCCATACGTTTCCTACCAACTTCTTGCTGTGTGATAACCTTCAGTGCTCTCAACTTGCTACCCAGTGATGAGAATCTTACAGGTAGGGATCCTAAAGGACCCGGGGAATGGAATACTAAATGAAGTTCCCGGGATCATGAGCCTTTCCTTGGCATCTAGCCATGACCTTTAAGGAAAGTAATTTGTATTTAGAATTATCGCTCCTTTATTCTCAGGAAAATTGGAAAATGAATTAATGAAAATTTGCAGTCTGCTTTCTTTATTTAAAAAATAATTTTTATCAGCGCTCTAAAAGTGTTGTTTCAATGTTTATGGATAACTCTATAGATCCATGAACCAATGTGACATTTTTATTGTACCTATGTTTATTGTAACTGATTTTCACAGTTGAGTTACATAGCTGTTGTAATTGTTAAGGTTATAATCATAAAAAATTTCTACTGTATTTTACTGCTAAACTTTAAATAATAAAATATTACAAGGACGTCAGTGGAAACAAGTCATTTTGACTTTTTGGGCTGTCCCAGGTAATTGATATGTAGTAATAATAATAATAATAATAATAATAATAATAATAATAATAATAATAGCAATAATAATAACTATAATAATAATAATAATAATAATAATAATAATAATAATAATAATAATAATAATAATAATAATAATAATAATCTTTATTTCTACATTTACAAGGTATATAGGCCTACCTGACATCAATGACATTTTACCACATAGAAAGCCTCTTTTTATTCAGAGATTTTCCCGTTAATTAGGTCCGTTGGTGCTTATGTGTAACTGTGCCTTAACAAACATATTTACTGATGTGATAAGATTAGGTTATTGTTGGGTGTCGCAGGAACTTTAACAAAAACAGTATTAAAGTTCACGAGGTAACACACTTTACTATTATTCAGCTGAATATCTTTACAAATAAATAAATATCGTTATTTCTACAAGTACATGTACAAGGTATACATACCATAGCTGACATCAATGATATATGTACCATTACTATATAGAAAGCCCCTTGTTATGCTGAGCATTTCAGGCAAATTAGGTCACCCTGTCCCAGGATGCGATCCACAACACCACCTGACCCCCGGGTCCCCCTTTTTAAACTGATAAAGAACATTAAAAAACCGGGTGAAGGAAAAAAGCCCGATTTTTAAAAAACCCGGGCCCGAGAATCAAAACCCACACTCCCCGTGGGGGGGGATTTTTGGGCCACCGGGGCCGGGGTTTCCAACTTAAATTCCTTTCTCGTTCTGTAAAAAATTTGGATATCCTAAACCATTATTCATTATCGCTAGCAACCCTTCAACACTACACGCTAAAACAAAACATAGTTAAAATGTTCTAGAAAGTAACACTTTAAAACCCTTTCCAGAAACCAAAAGCCCAGTTCTTGGTCATCATATGACAAAGACTCGAAATCAAAAAACCCCTTGCCCGGGTTTTCCCTGCAAACCTCACCCCTAACATAACCCCAAATAAAATTTAAACCCCACAGTCCACTTTTAGATTAAAAAAGTATAGTCTGTGTTGGTGCATTGGGCCAAAACAGGTTTTGCGTAAACCCCCAAAGAAACGTGTAATTATTTTCTGTTTATTTTTTCGTGTCGAAAAAGACAGGGATAATGGTTTATCTAAATTTCTACGGGGCACTACTACTACTAAATACCCTGCGCACTTTCCCACAAAAACTAAATACTACTACAGCTAAACCCCAAATACTACAAATACACTACTACAAATACTACTGGGGAAATACTACACTACTACTACGCTACTACAAAATACTACTACTACTTTCTACTTCTGCTGCTACTACCACCTACTAACTACCCCCTTCCTTAAAATACAACAACTACTCCCCCCTCTTGGGGCTAAAATAAAATTTTCTTACCCCCAAACCCCTATGACACCCAAATACTACCACTGCGCACCAAACTACTAAACTACTTTTCTACTACTGCTGCCCCCAAAAACTACCCCCTTTCTACTAACTGCTGCTACAAATACACTCCCACTACTACTACTGCTGCAAAAACTACTATTTTCTACTACTAATACAAATACTAAAGCGCTGCACTACAAAAACAAATACACGCTGCTGCGCTACTACTACTACTACTACTAATGCTGCTACACTACTACTAACTACTGACACTGCTACTACATACTATACTACTGCTACTACTACACTGCTACTACTAAATACTGCTTCAAATACTACTACTGCTGCGCTACATACTACTACTGCTACTACTACAAATACTACTACTACTACCTTGCTACTACTAAACTGCTACTACTACTACTCTACTGCTACTACTACTACTACTACTTTCTGCCTAACTACTACTACTACTACTACTGCTACTACTACAACTGCTACTACTACTACTACAAATGCTACTACTACTACTGCTACTACTACTACTACTACTACTACTGCTGCTACTACTACTACTATTGCTGCTGCACTAAATACTACTACTTGCTACTACTACTGCACTACTACTACTACTAAATACTGCTGCTAACTACTACTAACTGCTGCTACTACTACTACTATCTGCTACTACTACTACTACTACTGCTACTACTACTACGCTACTACTACTACTACTACTGCTGCTACTACAAATACTACTACTAACTACTCTGCTACTACTACACTACTACTACTGCTGCTACTACTACTACTACTATCTGCTACTACAAATACTACTGCTCTACTGCTACTACTACTACGACGCTACTACTATACTACTACTGCTGCTACTACTACTACTACTGCTACTACGCTACTACTGCGCTACACTACTACTATACTACTGCTCTGCTACTACTACAACTACTGCTGCTACTATACTACACTACGCTGCTATCTACTACTACTACTGCTGCTACTACTACTACTACTACTACTGCTGCTTCTACTTCTACTACATACGCTGCTACTAACTACTATTACTACTGCTGCTACTACTACTTTCTGCTACGCTGCATACTACTACTGCTACTACTACTACCTGCTACACTACTACTAAAAAACTACTACTACTACTACGCTGCTGCACTACTACTACTACTGGGACATACTACTACACTTCTGCTGCTACTACTAACTGCTGCTACTCTACTATACTACTACTACTACTTGCTACTACTTTCTACTACTGCTGCTACTACTACTACTACTACTACTGCTGCTACTACTAGCACTTCTGCTGCTACTACTACTACTACTGCTACTACTGCTACAAATACTACTACTGCTACTGTAAATACTACTACTACTACTACTACTGCTACTACTAAATACTACTGCTACTACTACTACTACTACTACTACTACTGCTACTACTACTACTACTACTACTGCTCTACTACTACTACTACTACTGCGCTACACTATACTACCTACTACTACTACTGCTACTACTACTACTACTACTGCTACTACTACTACTCTACTACTTGCTGCTACTACTACACTACTACTCTGCTACTACTACTACTACTACTACTGCCACTGCTGCTTCTACTACTACTACTACACTGCTACTACTACTACTACTACTACTACTACTACTACTGCTACTACTACTACCACTGCTACTGCTACTACTACTACTGCTAGCTACTATACTACTACACTCTGCTACTACTACTACTACTACGCTGCTACTACTACTACTACTACTGCTACACACTACTACTACTACGCTGCTACTACTACAATATATACTGCTGCAACTACTACTACTACTACGACTACTACTGCTACTACTACTACTACTACTGCTGCACTACTACTATACAATGCTACTGCTACTTTCTACTACTACTAAATACTACTGCTACTGCTACTACTACTATACTGCTGCTACTACTACTCTGCCCCATACTACTACTACTACTACTGCTACTACTACTATACTACTACTCTCTGCTACTGCTACTACACACTGCTACTGCTACTATACTAACTACAATGCAAATAATACTACTAAATACTGCTGCACTACTACTATACTACTGCTACTACTATAAATACTACACGCGCACTACTACTAAAACTACTACGCTGCTACTAACTATACTATACTGCTACTACTATGCTACTACTACACTAAAAACTGCTGCTATACTACACTACTACTGCTACTGCTACTACTTCTACTACTACACTGCTACTGCTACTACTACACAAATGCTGCTACATACTACTACTACTGCTGCTACTACTACTAATACTACTGCTACTACTACTACTACAGCTACTACTACTACTACTAAATACTTACTACTCACTATGCTGCTACTCTACACTACAAATACGCTACTACTACTCTACTACTGCTACTACTACTACTACTACTACTACATTACACAACTACACTACTATACTACTAAACTACACTGTTACTAACTACTACTACTATGCTACTAGTACACTATGCTACTACTATACTATACTATTGCACTACTTAAATACTATTACTACTACTACTACTACTACTATACTACACTATATTACTACTACACTACTACTACTATTACTACTACTACTACTTACTACTACTACTGTTACACTAACAAATACTACTACTACTACTATTACTACTACTACTATAATGCTACACTACTACTATAATTACTACTACTATACTACGCACTGCTACTACTACTACTACCCAACCCACTTTCTACTAACTACTACATAACTATTACTACTACTACTACTACTACACTACTACTCTTGCTACACTACTACTTTACTACTACTACTACTACTACATTACTACTACTCTATACTACTACTACTACTACTAACTACTACATTACACTACTACTACTACTACTACTACTACTGTTCTACTACTACTACTAAATACTACTACTACTACTATTACTACTACTACTACTACTACACTCTGCTACTACTACTACTACTATACTACTACTACTACTTACTCTACTACTAACTATTACTATACTACTACTACTACTAATACTAAATGCTACTACAATTTCTACTACTGCTACTACTACTACTAACTACTACTATATTTCAACTAACACTACTAAATATTACTACTAATACTACTACTTTACTACTACTACTACTACTGCTATTTCTATACTACTACTATACTAACTACTACAATTGCTACTACTACTACTACTATTACTAACTACTACTACTACTACATTACTACTACTACTACTATACAATACTATTACTACAAATACTACTAATACTACTTACTACGTTACTATATACTACTACACATACTATACTATTAACTACTACTACTACTACACACTGCTACTACATACTACTACTATTTCTACTACTACTAACTGCACGCTACTACTACTACTAACTACTATACTACTACATTACTATATACTGCTACTGCACTACTACACTAACTAACTACCGTTACTACTACTACTACTACTACTAATACTATTACTACTACTACTACTACTGCTACTACTACTACTACTACATTACTACTACTACTACTACTGCTACTGCTACTACTACTACTACTACTACTACTGCTACTACTACTTACTACTACTACTGCTACTATACACACTACTACTACTACTGTACTACTACTATACTACTACTAAACTACTACACTACTACTACTATAACTACTACTACTACTACTAATAATAATAATAATAATATCTTTATTCCTACACGTACATGTACGAGGTATACTGGCCTAGTTGAGATCAGTGGTATACTACTACATAGAAAGCCGCTTGTTGTGCGCTGCATTTCGGTCAAATTAGGTCAGTTTTGTCCCAGGATGCGACCCACACCAGTCCATTAACACCCAAGTACCTATTTCTTCTGATGGGTGAACAGGGACAACCGGGGTAAGGAAATGTTACCAATGTTACCACCCTTGCCGGGAATCGAATCCGGACCCTCAGCGATGACTGATTTCCCTGAATATATTGTAGATGGAAGGTATCTGATCATTATCATGGAGATAATATTAGAAGCATGTTGGTCTGACGTAGCTTTTAATATGATCAAATAGCATTTGGTACTAGGTGAAGGTTAAAACTTCAACAGATATTGTACCTTATTGTACCATATTGTACCATATTGTACCATATCTGTTGGAAACAGTAATCTTTTCGAAAATCGGGGCACTATGTTATTACCTTATTTAATGTTAGCTTGCAATTCAAATGTTTCAGAAATGTCTATTTCCAAATTTGGATGGAATTTTGAAATGAAGTCAGCTATTTGTGGATATAAACTACTTTTATTTTTGTGTAATATATAAAACATTATAGATATGGTTGTGAGTGGTGTGTATATGATAACCTTCCCTTACTTTATTTACCTTAGTTTTCCCTCCAGACTTGTCAAACTGTTCTCCACTCTCACACGTATAACTTTTTCTTCTCTGAGAAATTAATTATTACGTTTTAAAAACTTTAACTTCTTGATATGACAACACACAAAACATATATATTATATTTTACCAGCATGATTCTTGGTGTCTGCAGATGAAGTTGACAACGATGTGTGCTTTGGTGGCGACGTTGATATTGGTCATTAAGGGAAAGTTATCTCCACCTGAGAGGTCCTACAGGATCCTGATGCTCCTGCCATTCTCCTCCAGGAGTCACAAGAACGTCTTCATGCCTCTCGCTGTGGCTCTGGCCGACCGTGGGCATAAAGTAAGCCATTAATGTATAATTTTTGAAATTTGGAACTAACCTAAAAAAAATTATGTAGTGATATAGGAAAAATAATTTCTCTGCAGAATTTACTTTAAACATTGAGTGGAGAATATTTCTGCATATATTCTTCATGTACTAGTAAATATTGTAGTAAAGTATTTGATGAATAGCTTTAAGAACTTACGTATTTATCTGCTATATTCCCAACTGATGAGTTTAACTCAGTTTGTTATTATGGGCTTGACCAAATTCCTTCAACGTTACCTAAATAAACAACCCACATCCATTTTCAGATTGTAATGTTGACCAACCATCACAAGTCGTCCAAACATCCTAACATAGTAGAGGTTCCTCACAACCTAACATACACCAAGGAGGACTCGATAAATATTTTCCACGACAGGGTGACCCCAACTGGGGTCTTTCAATTTATGGCGAGAGTGTTGCCAGCTGCTGCTAGGGATATATACAAAATATCCGCCGTGAAGAACTTGTATAATAGGAGGAAGGAATTTGGAAATTTGTAGTAAAAATTTAAACCCTTTTTTAAAATAGGTTTGGTGATGGGGGGAAAATTTTTTTACTGAATAAATTGTTCATGAAAATTTAATTATGGGGATTTATTTCGGGGAATATTGCGTGGGAAAATAATAAGAGTAAAAATTTGGAGAATTAGAGTAAAAATTTCTTTATAACAATATTTTCTAAAATAGTTTAGGGTAACAAGGTAAAAATTTAACCAGGGAGAAAGAGACACAGATACATACCCTGGAAAAGGGGGGGGGTTTAAACCTATGGGGGAGTGGGGTTATTAAAAAACCCCCATGGCAAAGCGGGGGTTTGTGAAACTTCCATAGGTTTTAAATCTCAGTAGTACCCCTACCAGTAACCGTTACCCGTGTCAGTAGTGACTCACTTTCCAAACCCTCTGGGGAAAACACTTGTTATTCCCCTTTACAGCTGAAACCCCAGCATGTTTTTAACGTCCAAATCCCCCCTAGGAACTTTCTGGGAAGTTCCCTTCGATGGGCAGGGGCAGGACGTAGGTTTAGGCCCTTTCTACCCCTTTATTCTGTTTTTAATATTTCTTTTATTTTTACCGCCTAAACAGTGTTATTTTCTCCCAAACCATGTTACAGAACCCAACGGGACACAAAAACCCGACCCCCCCTGTGGCTTATTTCCCCTTCGTATTTTTTATGATTACTTTATTACTGATACACAAATACATTTTATTGCGACTCTTTTTTTTAATAAATTTTGACAACACGATTTGTTTTTTGGGCGAAAAACATTTCAAAAAAGTTCACATTTTAAATATATTTTTTTTCCCTTTGTATTGGTGTTTTATAAAATTTTCTGCCATGTAGAGTGTTGTCATTTAATTACAAGTAAACAATGTAGATAAGGGTATAGATTTTTTTTACCGTCTTCATTGACTTATAGAACCACAAAAATATTGTGAAAAAAGGTAAGGGAGACACTGCGGATTATTAGAAGAAAGGAAAGTTTTCCATACACCTCAGTTATCTTACCCCTCCATATTTGGGGCCCCCATGTGGCTCCAGGTTTCCAGTCAATTTCCTTGTGTTTTCCCAGTCCCCAAAATCAGAGCTTTACCCTCCCTATCTGACCTTCGGGCCACTTCAGACGTGTGTTAAACCCAAATCGTTTATTACTCTCTTTTAATACTCCTGCCTTGGCCTCCTGTTTCCCTGTGGAAGGTTTACATCACTGCAGTCACCATTGGAACCTTCAGAGAATTTCCTATTATGTACTCTTGCTTCTCTGCCTCCTCTCTTCAGCTCATCAAAATCCCATTGGATTTTGATGAGCAGTGCCCCCCCTCCTCCCCCTCTGATCCCTCTGTCTTTCCTCAGGATTTGATATTCCATTGGAAAGATGGCATCTGTTATCATTCCTGTGAGCTTGGTTTCTGAAAGAGCTATGATGTCCTGTGGTGCCTCTTTGACTCTTTCATGCCACTCCTCCCACATATTCGTTATTCCATCTGCATTGGTACCATACCTTCAGTTTCCTCTCCAACACTGTGTTCTGGGGTGTGTGTGGGGGTGGGGGATCTGGCAGTGTGCTATGCAATTCTACAGGATAGTGTGGGGTGGGGGCTGTAAGTGTGGATTGTGGGTTGTGTTGGGGTTGTGTGTTTGGCTGTGGGGTACTGGAGGTGGTTCTGTGAGTGCTTGCACTTCTTGCTGTCCTTCTCTGGTTGTCCTCTGCTGACACTGTCCTTGTCTCTCATCCTAGGCTCCTTTGTTTCTGTGTCTTCTCTCTCAGCTGCTGTCATTCTGTTCTTGTTCTGTCGTGATCTAGAAACACCCTCTTGTAAGGTGATGATTCCTTCAGCTGTGATTTCTCTTGCAGGATCGTGTTCCACATCATTTCTGTCTTGAAAATCAGTTTGACTGCCGATTTCTACCTTTCAAGTACCCCCCCCCCTTATTCTTTGAAAATTTACTATCTCAGTCATGCCCTCCTCACCTATTTCTTTGATGATGTATTCAATCTCTCGTTTTTCTTCCTGGCCTCTTTCATTGTGTGTCCTCTCGCTCTCCTGAAGCCCATGAGTAAACACTAACTTTTCACTCTCCTCCTCCCATTGCCTTTCCCTCTGTGCCTTTGGGTCCTATTTGCACATTGCCATTTTTTTCTCATGTAACTCTTGGTGGCATGGTTGTGCCTCTGCATGGGACCTGTTCCCTTCTCCCTCCTCCCTGTGTGTGTGTACTCACCTATTTGTACTCACCTATTTGTGCTTGCAGGGGTCGAGTCATAGCTCCTGGCCCCGCCTCTTCACTGATGGCTACTAGGTCCTCTCTCTCCCTGCTCCATGAGTTTTATCATACCTCGCCTTAAAACTATGTATGGTTCCCGCCTCCACTACTTCACTTTCTAGGCTATTCCACGGCTTGACTACTCTATGACTGAAGAAATACTTCCTAACATCCCTTTGATTCATCTGAGTCTTCAACTTCCAATTGTGACCTCTTGTGTCTGTGTCCCATCTCTGGAACACCCCGTCTTTGTCCACCTCGTCTATTCTGTGCAGTATTTTATATGTAATTATCATGTCTCCCCGGGACCCTCCTGGCCTCCAGTGTCGTCAGGCCGATTTCCCTCAACCTTTCTTCGTAGGACAATCCCCGTAGCTCTGGGACTAGTCTTGTTGCAAACCTTTGCACTTTCTCTAATTTCTTGACGTGGATTCCAAACTGGTGCTGCATACTCCAGTATGGGCCTGACGTAAATGGTATACAGATCTTGAACGACTCCTTACTGAGGAAATGGGGAACGCAAATCCGTAGGTTTGCCAGGCACCCGTATGCTGCAGCAGTTATCTGATTGATGTGTGCCTCAGGAGATATGCTCGGGGTTTTATACCACCCCCCAGATCTTTTTCCTTGAGTGAGGTTTGCAGACTTTGGCCATCTAAACTACATTTGTGTCTGCGGTCTTCTTTGGGCCCCCCCCCCAATCTTCATGACTTTGCATTTTGGGGGGTTTAAACTCAAGGAACCAGTTGCTGGAAACCAGGCTTGTAGCCTGTCCAGGTCTCTTTGTAGTCCTGCCTGATCCTGATCCGATTTGATTCTTCTCATTAACTTCACATCGTCCGCAAACAAGGACACTTCTGAGTCTGTCCCTTCCGTTATGTCATTCACATATACCAAGAACAGCACAGGTCCCCAGGGCTGACCCTGTGGAACCCCGCTTGGGCACAGGCGCCATTTTGACACCTCATCACGTACCATGACTCGTTGTTGCCTCCCTGTAAGGTATTTCTCTTATCCATTGCAGTGCCTTTCCTGTTATGTGTGGGCCTGATCCTCTAGCTTTTTACAGTAAACCTCTTGTGAGGAACTGTGTCGAAGGCCTTCTTGCAGTCCCCAAAAAAAATGCAGTCGATCCACCCCTCTCTCTCTTGTCTTACTTCTGTCACCTTGTCATAAAACTCTAATAGGTTTGTGACACAGGATTTTCCCTCCCTGAAACCATGCTGGTTGTCAATTATACATTGTTTCTTTCCAGGTGCTCCACCACTCTCCTGATGATCTCCATGACCTTGCATACTATACACGTTAGTGAACAGGTCTGTAGTTTAGTGCCTCATGTCTGTCTCCCTTTTTAAAAATTGGGACTGCATTTGCCATCTTCCATACCTCGGGGAGTTGCCCAGTTGAGGATCTTTGTCAATGGTACACACAATGTCTCTGCTCCCTCTTTAAGGACCCACAGAGAGATGTTGTCTGGTCCCATCGCCTTTGAGGTGTCAAGTTCGCATAGCAGCTTCTTCACCTCCTCCTTGGTTATATGTACCTCATCCAGCACTTGCTGGTGCACCCCGCTGCTCTGATTTCCTGGAGTCCACTGGTTTCCACTGTAAATATTTTTAAATCCTGTGATGAGTCCTGACATACCTCCCGGTCGTTTCTTGTGAAATTCCCCATCACCCTTCCTCAGTCTGATTACCTGGTCCTTGACTGTTGTTTTCCTCCTGATGTGGCTGTACAACAGCTTCGGTCAGTCTTGACTTTCGATTCTATGTCTTTGTCGTATTGCCGCTCCTCCCCTTATCGTGCATATTTGTTTTGGCTCTTTTGGGTAATCTTTTTTTTG